TGCTTCTATTCGTGACTGTACATCGTCATAGTTACTGAAAATGGTTTCAATCGTGTTCAACCTAGTTTTCAGTTCAACGATTCTTTTTTGTGTATCTGGTTTTTTCAGGAATGTATCAAACCTAGTTAATGATGCCTTTAATTGTCCGCGTTTTTGAACTAATGCTTTTAGTTCAAGTTCTACTGATTCCATCGCTACGAATGTAATGTAACTAACAATAAAAACAATGTAAATAATGAAATAAATGTCTTAAATGTGCTTGATACGAACGCCAATTCGTTTCTTTAATGTATGAAATGCTGACGCAAATAGAAACTGCAATAAATGACAAAATAGACAAAGATGGGAAACGACTCACCGGCTCACTTGACTGTATTCGAAAAATGCTGCTCGACCTTGGCTCAGACTCGGCACACGTGCTTTTCTCTATGCAATGCCACTTGTTAAAACCGCTGCCTGGGTAGGTATTTTGTCCTCGCGTTCTCCACGCTGCTGTGGATTGGTTACTTGGCTGCTATCAACGTGCTTCGAGCTCGACAGCCCCGCTGCACTCCGCGATGAATGAATAAAATGTATTCACAAAATAAATGAATGTAATGTTTTCAATGACGAAATGTTTAACTGCTTACTAATGTTTAATGATTTAATGATTATGGCGGTAATGGCTACCCTGACCACTATTTTTTAACGATTGCACAATGTTCGTTGGAATGTCGAAGTTCACTGTTTGCTTCTAGTTGACTCGTATATCCATGCTGGATTAAATGTGGCGGAAGGACCAATTTATGTCGATTTCTCAACTGCGTTTTTAGGAAAATGAAATTAATGTAACGTTTTGGGAACACACCTTTAATGACTCGTAGAATAGGTGTGACCTCTCGCATGGCTTGGAGATTACTGGCCATACAACACACAATGCTTGGACCTCTCGCACATGCGTAAGATCACGGAATCCAATACATTGGAAGTGAAAACAAAAGTACAGAACACACTGTATCATTAACATTATCTTTCAGGTTTTGTTCTGGTCTTGGAGTAGCTGGGGCTTTCCCACTAACCTTCAGCTACCTCACAGAAACCTGTTCCAGATCGACCCGTACCAGATACGCCGGCATCCTCCATTCAATATGGCCCTTAGGGGCCGTCTTTACGTCAATCATATCACACCTGACTATGCCCACGCTTGGGGCAGAAATAGTACAAGACAATCGGGAACATTGGAGCTCTTGGCACAGGTCAATAACCACGAATTATAAAACACCTCTTAGAATACTAAACTAATATTCCTGCAGGTTCCTTATTCTTAGCATACTTCCTACTTTAGCTTGTATAATAGGACTGATATGGGCATCGGAATCGCCGAGATACCTCCTGGAGGCTTCTAGGGAGGTGGAGGCGTTGGCCGTGTACCAGAGGCTGCACAGGTTGAATAAGGCCCGAACGCAATACGGTCTTACGGAATTGGAGTTGCCGGGAAGGAACGCTTATCGCGATAGGCCTTTGAGCCCATCCAGGAATATTTTCAGTCACGGAATTGGTTCGGTGAGTTTGTTTTATGAAATACCTGCGTGCGACTTGATTATTTATCACAAAAAAGAGGTCATAATTATTAACTTCTGAAGTTGTTCGTTCATAAAATCATATCATTTTTAGTAGGCTGTTCTAACGAGCGTTCAAATAAAAACGTGGTCAAGTTGGTTCTGAAAATTTGGACGTAGGGCGTAGCGTATTAGCAAAAGAACTTAAACGTCATCTGTCAAAGCGCTATATCGCCGCTATATTTGAATATTTTCGTTTTAAAAAGCGTTTAAAATGGTGTTTTCTCAAGAACAAAAAGTGTTTATCATAGAGTCCTACTTTAGAAATGGACGCAAGATTGATGGAATATGGAAGTATTCTATTGAGGAATGTTTCATAGAATTTCAAAATCAATTTCCCGGCGTTGTTGAGTACAAAATTTTTCAAAGTGCAGTTCAGCGTTGTGTTAATGTTTTTCGTGAAACGGGCAGTGTAACAAGAAAAGAAGGAAGCGGCCGACCTAAAAAGCGGACTGAAGAATTAAAAGAAAATGTCCAACAAATAATGGAAAATGCGCCAAGAACTTCTGTACGTGTTTTATCACAAATGGTGGGAGTATCAGTCGGTACCTGCCACACAGTGTTAAAA